CGCTTGACAAGGGGGAGAGCAGCTCAGGGAGAGCTGAGAACTTCGCCTGAGGGCACATATCTGTGAAGGCAAGGTGTGACACCCAAAGGCAGACCCGAGAGCATCTAAGGAAGACTAAGGCCCTTTCCTTCATTCCGAGTCTGCTTCTGCCCCAGCAACGTGCCTCTCACACTGGGCCTGGTCGTTAGTGCTCACCTAGTGGCTCCTCCAACTACACAACAAAGTGGCTTCAGAGTCGGGACTTCTGACACTTTCTTGGATTCTTTACTCTCTGGACACCCGCCACTTACGGGCTGTGGTGAGAGTGTGCCTGTTGAAACCTTTATGCATAGTAAGCACATTAGAAAAAACAACCCCCAATGAAACCTGCTGCCATGGAGTCAACTGTAACTCACAGCAACCCTATGGCCCAGGAGCAGAACTGTCTCCACGGGGTTCCCAAAGTTGTAGAACTTTCCGGAAGCAGACTGCCTCATCTTCTCCCTCCGGAGTGAGTGGTGGGTTTGAACTGCTGACCTTTCAAGTTTGTACTTTAACCACTGTGCCACCAGGGCGTCACAATAAAGACACAGAGGCCCCCAAAGGTGGACGCAGCTGCTGACCCAAGTCAATTCTATTGTTCTTGGCAATGTGAGCAGAAATATACTCGGGGCTGAGTAAGCAGAGATGATGCTAATCATGTGATTTTGTCCAGGGGACCCAGCATGTCTGAGCTGCTGCGCCTAGCGGCAGAGCCAGCCACCCTGACAAAGACCCGCGCCGCGGCACAGCTCACCTGCAGCACCCGGCTCATCCACTGGAAACTGTCTTCCTCGGAAGCATCGGGTCTTTGCTCGGCCACCACCACAATGCGCTCATCATAAAACACAGACACAGAAAACACAGCAATTCTAAGAGAGACAGATCAAACGCATCAGGACACCCGTCACAGCCAGGCCTGTTGGCTTTGCTTCGTGGGAGTTAAAGGGAGGGGACGGTCCCACCCCGTGACCCAGAGATGAGCGGTTCAGGAAATTCCGCACTCGTTCCCGTCACTCACAAAACCAAAATCCTTATCTCCGTGGGGCTGACACGTGAGAGAGGCAGACCAGAACGGCAGACAAAGCTGCTGGCACATGGCACTATGCATGCACCGGGAAGAAAGTAAGGCGGGGGGTGGAGGGTGGTGTTCAGAAGGGTGTGCTATCCACGGCAGGGTGGCTGGGGAGGCCTCCCTGAGGAGCCAACACTGGTGCAGAGACCTGGCAGAGGCGAGGACGGGAGCCATGTGAAGATCTGGAGGGAGAAGGGCTTTTCCAGGCAGTTGGAATGCAGAGCGAGAAGGTTCTGAGGTGGGTTTGAGGCACGGCCAAAGGGCCAGTGTGCCTGCAGCAAAGGGGTGGAGTCGAGAGTGGTCCCTAGAGGCCAGACAGAGGCCAGGGAAGATCTCGGCAGACCACGCAGGCCCAGGGGAGGAGGATGGGCTTGGTTCCCAGTGAGGGCTCCTCTCCAATGGCCCCACCTGGTGGGGCATGCCCAGACCCCTTATATAAAACAGCAAGCCCTCGCTCGGCTCACTCCCCACATAGGCTGTCCCTTTCCTTGCTGGAGCAAGAGGGGAGCTGCACCAGCGCAGAGCCCGGCTGTTTGGGTCACTGCTGGGTCTGGCGCGTCAGGAACAGTGGCACGTGGTCGGCACCCAGTATGTGCAGGATGAACGGCTGTGTGGAAGACAGGGAGGCCCCTGGGGAGTGGAATATGCCAGCGAGCCCTCTCCTTCCTGTCTTCCACACCTCCTACTGAACAGCGACCAGAGTGTCAGGCACTGTGCTGTGCGCTGAGGCAGGAACTAGAGCTTGGACCAGACAGACCTGGCCTCGTAAGAAGGCACACTCAGAAAACCCTGCTTCTCGGGTTTCACCAACACTTTTCTATTTCATGACTGTTTTCTTTTATTGTATTTTTTTATATAAATCATTTTATTGGGGCTCATACAACTCTTATCACAATCCACATGTACATCAATTGTGTAAAGCACACTTATACATTTGTTGCCCTCATCATTCTCAAAACTCGCTTTCCGCTTGGGTTCCTAGAATCGACTCATTTTCCTTTTCCCCCTCCCCCTCCCTCCCCGCTCCCCTCTCCCTCATGAACCCTTGATAACTAATAAATTATTATTTTATCTTCTCTTACACTACCCGGCGTCTCCCTTCACCCACTTTTCTGTTGCCCATACCCCAAGGAGGAAGTTATACGTAGATTCTTGTGATCGGTTCCCCCTTTCTACCCCCACCTTCCCTCCCGCACCAACACTTCTTAAAGAACTAACAGGACACTAAGTTTGCTTTGAGGATGTCTGTCTGTCTGTCTGTCTAATCTATCTGTCTTATCTATGTATCTATCACTGTAACCTCCTGAATAGGATATTAAGTACTTAGCTACGTAACGGGCATCTCCTCTTGTATTACACAAAGGAAAAGAATACCTACTTGACTCTGTCTCTGGCATTTGAAATCGAACAGTTCAGTGCTAGGCTGGAACCCGTGTTAAAACGGGGCAATACTTTGCTCAGCAGTGAGTCAGAGAAATAACCCTTAGGTGCAGGTGCCTGCAAAGCAGCATCTCTCCCAACTAGCCAGAATGGCCATGGGAAGGCACAATAAGCTCAACGTTTTAGAATTGTCACAACAAACGATAGCTGAAGTTCAGGCTATCGTTAGACATTCATGTCTGATTCCTCTCAGTGACAGCCACGGAAGCAGGTGTCTCATCAGACACGTGCAAAGCCAAGCTTCTGAGATGCTGCCCCAAACATAATCTAGCCGCTTGGGAAGAGAAACGGCAAAGAGAAAGATACCTTTCGAGGCCACTGGAAGCGACAACAGTTGAACTTTGTACTACTCACCTTCCCCTGTAAACAGTCTTGATGGATTCAACAGCCAATCCAGTTGCAACAATATCATCAGCATTGTGCCTGCGACCACTGATCATGAGCAATCCATCCATCTTTCCAACCACAAACACCAAACTGCCCTGAAAGGTAACCAGGATTTACATGGTAAAGTAGACATTTCCCTCTCTGCTTGAAAAAAAAAGAAAAGAAAACGAAAACAAAAAACTCAATGGATTGTCCCTGCTGATCACACGTTATGAGCTCATGTTCTTTCCCCAGTCCAGGGGTGGATGTGGAGGCAAAAAATGTAAATTGAATCCAGGAATTAGGAAGCAATTGGAAGAGTTTTAATACAAGAAAGGTGTTTTGGGTTTTTAAGGATGATGTTTCCATCTGCACGATGAGATTGTTTTTGTTTGCTTTTTTAACACAACAGAAGTATGATGAGGTAGCGTGAACTTGGGTAACAGAAGCAAAACCAAGAAACAAACCAGCAAACCCTGCCGGCTCCTTCATGACAGCCTCACAGGATTCCGTGCCCGTCTAACCTCTCTGGCTAATGAGAATTTATTCTATTTGATGAGTTAAAATGCAAATGGTTGGATCTGTCATATCAAAATAAACACGGAAATATCACTTACTGGCCCAACGAACCCCAGTAATCCTGACCGGATGAATGGCACCTCCCCAACAGGGGAGCCCGAGGAATTCACTGGGATCACCTAAGAGCAGGAAAGAGGAGGAAAGTGTTAACTCTTAATTTCTCCTTCAAACAAGTACTTGATTCTTTGAAAGTCTTAAACAAAAATTACAATATGCAAGCTGAAAAAGGAACATGATGTAAATATTGAACCCAAGAATTCAACTCCCTGGATTAATAATTCCCTAGGGGCAGGGCAGAAGTTGTGGGGAAATGAGGTGCTAACAGCTATGAAAAAGAAGAAAATGTTCTGAAATTGATTGTGGTGATGACTGCATAACTCTTCTTAATATGAGTTGCATGGTATGTGAATTCTATGCCAATGATTTTTTTCTTTAAAGGGTTGCACTATACTGACTGCTTTTCAACTTGCCTTTCACATAATATTCCTTGGGCAGGATGGTGGTGGTGGGGGGTGTGGTGTGGTGTGGTGTGTGTGTGCGCGTGCGTGCGTGTAGGCACAGCACAGCCCTCCGAGTCTGGTCTGCCACTCACCAGTAACATGGACCTTGGGGAAGGCCCTGGGTTTCCTAGAACCTCGGTTTCTTAAGCTATAAAAACAGAGCCCGCGATGCCCGGTGAACCGCTTCCATACGGACTACACAGAAGAAAACCCCCAGGGGCGTGGCTGCCCGGTGGCAAACAGGGTGCTAGGTGAATGTGCTCTGCCACACAGGAAGCGCAAATGGAAGGATGTGCTCGCATGAGCCCTGTCCAGGGGGACAGATGACGTGACCACACCGAGGCAGATTAATCCCAATGACAAAATGCAAACTATTAATTGCCCTGCCCTGATTTCCACAGCCTCACTAAGCACATTCCTCTTCACACTCTGGCTTGAGGCAGAAGTGTGTGAGGGAAAGTAAGGGCTAGTCCAGCTGCTATGCGCTACCTCTGCTGGAACAGGAGCTCTCTGCGGGGTTGTGTCTTATTTCTAAAACAGCACCCGGCTTCGAGAAGGCGCTCAATAAAGACTGTCAGCATGAAGGCATGAATAATGTGAGCAACCTGACCCAGCGGTTTGAAAGTTGTTTATTTTTAATTAGTAACCAGGCACTCTGGTTTAGCTCAGTCTTTCTAAGCTCAGTCTATTCTCTGAGCAATGGACCCATTTCCCCTGTATTCTCCGAATTGAGCTTTTAAGGTCCCAAAGCTCAAACCATGAAGAATTCCCCAGAGAAAATGCCACTTGGTGAGACCTCTTATCGGGCCTTTATTTAGAGATACTTGTTATTGCTGGATGTCATTGACGTGATCAACTCAGTGTCAGACCAGGGGACGGAGCAGCACTGCCCCAGAGGGTTTGCTAGGCTGGGATACTGATAGGGACAGAATGGCAAGTCTTTCCTCCTCGTGTCCCCCCGTGGGTGAGGACTGTCCATGCTGTGGTTTGCAGTTGAGCGCTTGCTTGCTTATTTAATCCCAGCACCACCAGAACTAGCATTTCCTGGGTGCCAGGCAATGTTTTAATTAAGCATGGTTACTATCATTCCTATAGTCATCCTAACAATCACGTCAGAGTTACTACCATTACTCCCATTTCGGAGAAGAGAAAATTGGGAGTGCAGAGGTCATGCAGCTCATTCAAGGCCTGCCTGTGAGGGGCACGGTCACGATGCAAATGCAGGCCGTCCGGCTCTATCGCCCATCACCCTCGCCTTGGGCTAGCCTGCCCCAGTGGTGCCCTGACCACACCAAACCGGTTCCCTGTGAAATGGCAAGATCATGTACCTCGAACGTATTTTTGGTCACACCAGCAAGTCCAAAGTACATCATGCCCCCCGTCCTGGAGCTAACACAGATTTCTCCAATCTCATCCGTCTTGCAGAGTTGGGGGGGCCCATCTGGCTTCACGATGCACATCATGCCTAGTACACAGAAAAGAGGGTTCAAGGCTGGAAGATTCTGGAAGACAAGAACTCCTCCCCTTGTGAGCCCAGGCAAACTCCATGTTTATCAAGTGGCATGAATGCAAAAGACAGGCCTAAAATCACATAGGTACTTTTGAAAGCGCAATCCAAGATATTCAAAAGATTTTTATACAAATGATTTTTTTTTAAACAACTTGACAAATAGAATACACAACAGGTGCACAGACGGACTCCGTCAAGGCAGTGACATAAGTTTTTAAATAACTGCCAAGCCCACTGGAGCAGTCACTCTGGTTTTGCCCGTGAGTGCCTAAGCACAGACCCGATGGCTCGACTGGCAGTGAAAGCAAGGTAACATCTGCCTCGCTGAGGCCTGGGCTGCCCACACAGCAGTCTTCACAAGGAATGAATCACACCATCTGCCGGAAGCTTCCGTGAAAGTACAGCCATTCACCTCCTAGACAGGCTTTGGGAATGGGCGACCACGTACTGAACTAAGGTTCCTGGTTTGGGGTCTCCTGTTGCCTCAGGCGCTGCTCTCTCTGATGACAAGCCTCTATGAAAAATCACACGGTGCCCTTCTGAACTCACCCCCAGGCATGACGTGTCCCACATCCTGGACCGTCAGCGCTGAATTTTTATCTTCAGTATTGACCCGTATAACCCCATAGCTCAAACCATTCATCGAGAGAATGGCTCTTCCCGGCAAAGGGGCCCCTGGAACTCCAGGCCTGCAAAGAAGAGAAAGCCGTCAAGGTTGGCACATTACACCGTCAAGGTCAGCACATTACATGGTATCGGAAAAGACTTTGAATGTGTACGGACATGGATGTCCTCTGTTTGGATGTCCAATTCCAAACACTCCCCATTTTCCCCAGCCAAGTACGTGATGTGAAAAACAGTCAAATCCACATGTGCAAAGCAGGGTCCCCTCTCAGTCAGACAGAGAACGTGAATCTCCATCAGCTGTTAAGAAGATCTTGGTGCCTGCCCAAGAGGTGGGCCCCGAACAGGAGGAGGTAAAACGTGGCACAGAACTGGCAATCATCCTTACTGGATCCGCGGAGCCCCGGAGCCCCATATCTACTGCCCGAGCAGTGCCCTTCATTAACCCTTGAGCCATTTGGAAACGAAACAGCATTTGAGCACTCGGGCTCGTGTAACGAATGCTGGACATGTGACCACAGGGACAACAGGGATCCTAAGGCACAGATGAGAACTCTGAGGGCAGGGTCGTGGTGCACGGTGGTCAAGTAATGGGAGGGACAGTGAGGGTGGAGACACGATGCAGGATGTCACCATCGTCACCGATGCGCACGTGGACAAACTGTTGAGCGAGTGCAGGAGGGGGGCTTCAAGAGGCTGGTGGAAGAATGGACTTGAGATTTTAGTTTTTCCACGAACTTTCTGAAGCTCCTTTGCACAGCTTGGTGTGTGTGTTTCCTCTCGCTCTCTCACACACACATGCACGCACGCACGCGCACACACTAACCTCCGAAAGGCAGCGTGTGACGATCCGACACCAGAAGAAGAAAAGGACTGCTAGCATCAGGTGGATGCCACCTCACAGCAACCCTGCAGCTCAGGGCCGAGCTGCTCCTGTGCGTTTCCCTGACTGTGGCTTATGAGGGCAGAGGGCCTCATCGCTCTCCCTCAGGGCAGCAGGTGGTTTCCAACTGCTGACCTTGTGGTCAGCAGCCCAAAGCGGAACCACTACAGCGGAACGCTGGGGTTCCTCGTCGTATGATTCAGGGAGACAAATGAATAGGAATGTCTTGGTCTCGGGTGTACTATAATTGTACTTTCCTTTTCTGACGCTAACCAAGAACGGTCTACTTCTAGTTCAAGTTGCTAGCTAAGGCACTTGAAGAACACAACAAGACATAAAAAGAACTAATTCAGAAAAACGAGATGAGTCTAAAGCGGATGTTCAGTCCCTGTTGCCATCTCGGGCAACGGCGGGCATAAGAAATGAGATGCTTCCAGCAGTCACGGCCGTGTTCTGGCTTATGAGGCAGAGTCAGTGAGCACCGTGTCAGCACCCGGTAGCAGTGTGTGTGCTGTCGAAGCTGTGGCACCCACGCCCAGCTCTGGGTGCCCCCAATGGTACCTGCGGATGGCCACCGTCATGGCTTCGGCCGATGTAGCACAGGGACAGATGGCCTCGGGCTTCAGCCCATGGCTTTGGAACAGACTCAGGAAGGCATCACAGGACGACACAGACCCTGAGGGGTTGGGACAGATCAAGGTTAGAGAGTTCATCACGGCTAGGGGAGACTGGCAGAGGTGGCGTGCCGATGGTGGCCTCTCACTGCGCATCGCTGATGCCACACAAACAGTTTACTCTGCCGCGGAGATGGGTCGATGCATGGCAGGGACAAAGGCCAGCTTCCCTGCCTGTGAAAAGGTCCTGCCACTGTTTACCTCTCAATGAAGATGTTCTAAAGACCTTTACAGAAAGGAAACTCACTGCTGCTGAGTTTAATTCTGACCCACTGCGACCCTGTGCGGCAGGACAGAACAGGCCTTGTGGGTTTCGGAGACCTTACTGCAGTGGGGAGCCTCATTCTCCTCCAGCAGAGCAGCTGGCAGCTGCTGTTCTTGTGGTCAGCAGCCCAAAGAGGAACCCATCACACTACCAAAACTCCAGACAGGAAGCAGGAGGCGTGCAGGCACACACGTGTTCCCAGGCCTGCCCGCCAGGACTACTCACAGGGATTAGCCCCATCAGTCACAATTAGCATCCGGAGGGAACTCAGGCTCACGTCTCTTTGGTCTCGATGCGCCATCATAGCCCAGTGCAAGTCTCGGCATTTCACCAACGCCACCTTGGCTGGAAACGCAAGAGGAACAACGTTCACGCGCAAGCACCTGGCGACATTTGATAGGTACTTAAAACACTGCAATTAGAATATATTTACTTAGTGTAGGTTATTAGGTTTCACCTGGAGAAAATACGAGAGTACCAACGGCATTCAAAAGAACCGTGCCAGGTGCAGGAGGCAGACAGAGCCACATCCAGGTGACAGCACCCAGGCTCAGCACCGTGCCTGCTCGCTGCAACCTCTGTGTGGGCCACAGTACCCATCCACCCGTGAGGACTCTCAACACAGAAACACCCCATCAATCTGGCCAGGCTCCTGGAGAGTTGGACTCCTAAGAAAGGGCATGCAGGCAGAGGAGGTCCACAACACAGCTGCTTCTATGGCAACCAAACCCTAAAGTTTGTTAAGCAGAGAATGGCGCCTCCTGGAGGGCAACATGAAAATTCTCAAAGACAATAATTCTTGAGCCAGTCAGGGTGCAGTATAGCACCAATGAAACACACAACCTTCTTCTATCCAGTTCAACGGTTCTCAACCTATGGGTCCCGAACCCTTTGGGGGCCAAACGACCCTTTCACAGGGGTCACCGATTCATAACAGTAGCAAAATGACAGTTATGAAGTAGCAACGAAAATAATAATATGGTTGGGGGGTCACCACAACGCGAGGAACTGTATTAAAGGGTCGCAGCATTAGGAAGGTTGAGAACCACTGCTCTAGTTCTTTAATGCTTCCTCCCCTGCCACTACCATGACCCCAATTCTATCTTACCAATCTGACTAGACCAGAACATGTATACTGGTACAGATAAGAGCTCGAAACACAGGAAATCCAGAACAGATAACCCCCTAAGGACCAATAAGGGGAGCAGTGATACTACAAGAGTAAATGAGGGTGGGGGGAGTAAGAGGGAATCGATCACAATGATCGACATATGGCCCCATCCCAGCAGAAAAGCACACAGCAGGAAAGTGGGTGAAATGAGACAGCAGTCGGTATAAACAAGGAAAAAAAGAATAATTTAAAAATTATCAAGGGGGCGTGGGGGAGGAAAGCCGAAAAATGAGGAGCGGATGCCAGGGGCTCAAGTAGAAAGAAAATGTTTTGGAAAAGATAATGACAACATATGTAAAGATGTGCTTGACAAAATGGATGTGTATGGGTTGTGATAAGAGCTGTAAGAGCGCCCAGTTTTTTAAAATCCCATAATTCCTTTTCATTTTTTTTAAGCCAGTCAAATTCAGCAGTGGGGGAAAGAGCATGAATCTAACCATCCAGTAAGTGAAGCTCGGAGACCAGAGTGCCTACCTTTATGGGTATGTACTCGCTGGACCCAGGAGAGAGGACAGGTCTTCATGACAGAGTAGGGGACACTGACGGTGTGCAGCTTGTTCATTATAGTCTGCAAGACAACGAGGGATGAGAGAAAAAGTCACACCTTAGACAGTACAAGCACTTTAAAATGGAAAGCATACTGTGTAGTTCATTTTAGTCATCTAAGAATCAAACATATTCTCTTTGGGGGCAGGAGAGGAAATCCAAAAGACTAGTTTATAAATGCTGAAGTAATCCTCCCTCCCACTGCAACTTGGGGTAGAGGATATTTACTTTTTCAGTACATTATTTTTTTTGACTGCCTGCCTGCCTCTTCTGTACATTGTTAATAGCCTCCCCGCAGTTCTACTGCATATGCAAATATTCTTTTCTTTTAACTTAAATAGTTGTATGGGCCTGAAGTCACGTTTTGAAATTTATTTTTATTATTATTTTTTATTAAATACTTTTATTGGGGGCTCTTACATCTCTTATCACACATTCATCCATTGTGTCAAGCACATTTGCACATATGCTGCCACCATCATTTTCAAAGCATTTTCTTTTCTACTTGAGCCCCTGATATCAGTTCCTCATTTTCCCCTCTCCCTCCCCTGCCTGCCCTCCCTCATGGACCCTTGATAAGTTGTAGATTATAATTTTCATATCTTACATTGTCCTCTGTCGCCCTTCACCCACTTTTCCATTGTTCGTCCCCCGGTGGCGGGGGGTATAGGTTGGTCCTTGTGATCGAATCCCCCTGAAGTCACTCCTGATGCCCAGCTCCACTCCGGGCTTTCCCTCTCTCCCTCCCCAGCAGTGACTGTGGTTATCACTGCGGCGTGAACACGCCCAGCCTTCTTCTATGCATCTATGTGCATTATTTGTTCTGCTAGCAACAGGCAGCATTTTGTAAACATGAAAGACATCATACTACCCATACAGCAACAACTTGCTTTTCCTTCTTCAATTGCTTCAGAGATGAGTTTGTGTGCTCTGGAGCACACAGATGACAAGTCTTTTGCAGGCTAATAAGCAGCCCTACAGTAGGGCGTGCACCACACCTAATTCCGGCATCCCCTAGCGGGTAGACTTTGTGATTACCAGCCATGTGGCAATGCACACCCCTGTCCTCGCTCCACTGGGTAGGAGGGCAAGTCCCGCTCTGGGGCAGCTACAGAAGGGCAGGAAGGGCAGGCCACAGGGAGGGTACAGCACACGTCTTAACAGATGCTACCCAGCTACCCACCGAGTGCTATTGTCCAGCTTGTGCTCGCCACGCACCACAAAAGGGAGGGCGCAACAAGGCAAGCAGTCAGGTTTCCCTGCTTCCTCCAGCAGGTCCTACCCAGACCTGTCAGGTATGCGGGTGGATAGCGCTGTGTGAGCTGAGGGGCCCGACCATTGAGTGCCCTCTTGCCACCCACACCAAGCTTCCCTGGGACCCGCATGTTGAAAAGACTTGGCTTGCAGGGTTGCTACACCCTGCAAGAGAAGCTGGCCACAGCACTCACCAACTACAAAGCCCAAAGGGACCTCTCCCCTCCCGGAGTGTGGCTCAGGTGACAATGCTTTGGATTGCGGGAAAAGGTGGTTTGTAGGCAACTCATTCTGCTCACCTTTTCCCATCTTGCCTTTGTATTCAGAGGCCATGATTACCCACAAGTCCTCGTAAGGGAAGGGGAGAAAAGGAAACTGGACCGGTTCCTAAAGGGCCGAGACCATGTCCGCCAGAGGACTGGGCTCTGACCAATGTGCAGGGTGACCTGGCTGATAGGAGACTCCCCTCTTCTTCTCTGACACTTCACTTCCTACTTTTACTCAGACTCCTGTAATGTGTAAGGGAGACAGACTAAATCAGCGGTTCTCAACCTGTGCATCGTGACCCCTTTGGGGGTCGAATGACCCTTTCACAGGGGTCGCCTGATTCATAGCAGCAGCAAAGTGACAGTGATGAAGGAGCAACGAAAATAATGCTGTGGGGGTGGGTCCCCACACACGAGGAGCGGTATGAAAGGGCCGCGGCATGAGGAAGGCGGAGCACCACTGCACACGAGGAGCGGTATGAAAGGGCCGCGGCATGAGGAAGGCGGAGCACCACTGCACTAAATGTTCTCCAAGGTCCTTTTCAGCTCCTGGACTCTAGATGCGCTCTCCCGCCTCCTAACCAGCACAAGGCATAGTCCTTTCCCATTTAGAATGTCTCCTCGCTTTCCCCCCAGCCTCCAGAAAATTCTCTAGAGGTGAATCTTGCTCACTTTCAACAAAACTCAGCTGTCACCGCTGCCATAAAGGCCCAAGCGAAGGAATTCATCGTTGTGTGGCCCTGTCCTGTCTTATGGAAGTGTCCCCCCTCCTTCTTCGTTACCTACTCTGTCCTATTAGGCATGGAGCTTGTGCACAGCGGTCACTCAAAACGTTTTGTCCAATGGAAAGGCTAGGTGTGATCAGCCGCAGTTGCCAAGGGCAAATAGATAGCTACGCCCCGCTTTCAGGAGAGGTAAGCCCTGAGCACGACTTCTCTTAACTGTGAATAAATGCGCCATCATTTTCAGACCCTGCTGGGCTCTGTGTGATCACAGAGGCTTCAACATTTTTGATTCTGACTTTTCCTACACACGTGTGAAAGGGACGCCCACACACAGAAGGGAAAACAGAATTGCAAAGGGAAAACGCCAAAGGAAAACAAATTGCATTCCCTTTTTCTTTTTTCTTCCTGATGACCATGTGTGTCACAAAGCCAAATCCCTCAGGAAAAGACTCCTGGTCATTTGGGGCCTTTCAAACAGGTACCGAGAGAGTCTGGTGGCACAGAATGTCCACTGACCGGAATTCGCATGTAAGGCCTCATTCTGAATAGCTTACCGCAAACATGCCGTGCCACAGGCCAGTGTCCTTCTTGAAGTCTAAAACGTTTACTACTGTTTCCCCTAAAAGAGATGGGGGACGACACAAGGCAATGATCATTAGTGTTAAGTAGGAAAAGGATGCCACTTCTCTCTACTGCAACAAGGGATTTGGTTTTCCTGAAGAGCCGACCACACGCTCTCAGGGGCTTCGGGCGACGGGATGGTCCCCGCGACCCCGCGACGATGCTGCGTTCACAGCATCCTGAGTGAGAAGATCCTTGTGCTCTTCCAAGAATCTCCAGTTAGGAAAGGAAGACCTGGTGATTTCAGAAACTCTGAAAAGTTTAGAAATATAAGCAAAAACTTCTAGGTTCCTTATGGTGTAGTGGTTACGCGTTGGGCTGCAATCCGCGTGGTTGGCAGTTCGAAACAACCACCAGCAGCTCTTGGGGCGAAAGACTGGGCTTTCTATTCCCATTCCAGGTCCGGAAACCCACAGGGGTCACAATGAGCCAGCACCGGCCCCTTGGCAGTGCGCTTGGAGGGTTTTTTTTTGCGGAGTGGACGTGTGTGAAGAGCATATGCCCACGGACACCTTGAGATCTCACACAACAAAACTGGCGTTCACTGCTCCGCATCTAATCTCTTCCCGCTTATATGATAAAGGAGAGAAGTAAAAAGGTATTGCTAGTAGGGTTCTAGTTTACACAAGCACAGTTTTATGCCAAACAAAATGTGTGCTAACACGCCCCTCTGATCAGTGGATGGTGCAGACAAGCCCCCTCAGTAAACGCTTGTCTTAGTCTCATGAAGCAGCCTCCAAAAAACAAGCCCCATCCAAACCGGGGCTTCTGAGGGCATCTGTTGGGACAGTTCCAACCCAGGCAGGGAGGTCAGCTCTGGGAATGGGGATTGTTTTTTGGATCAGGGATAATCTTGACAGACTTTCTTTAAGGACACAGGACAGTCCTGGGGAATGATGAGGAAGAAATCTTAAGAAAATGAAAAAATTATTGGAGAGGAAAAGGCCAGGAAAATTGCCCTAAGGGATTTCCCCCTCACCTCCCCCACCCCCAATCATGACAATGCACCCGTTCATTCTCTGCAGGTAGCAAGAGCTGTCCCAGGAGACTTTCATTAGGAAAACACCTGACTGCAGCCCGGTGCTTGTCCCTCCAGGCTTCTATTTGTTCCCCAAGCAGAGCACTGGAAAGAACATCCTGCGAATCCTTCGAGGATGTCAAAACTGCCAAGTGAGATTCCCCAGGGAAGTGGGGTACCAGTAGATTCCCCCGGGAAGTGGGGTACCAGTAGATTCCCCCGGGAAGGGTTGCAGAGATGCAAAGACCACCTTTAGAGGTGTGCCCAGCAGACTGAGATGGAGGCTGTAGCTTCTCACCGCTGACACCTTGGCTTTGTTTAATAAAGGTTTCCATGATTTTGTAGCAATATTTTCTTACTTCCCTCATATTACAATAACTTCAAATTGTAACAACGTTTTTTAATGCGCCATAGCATAATCTATTAGATGAATATGTTATATGTAATCAGTCTCTATTGTTGAATATTTTCACCTGTTTGTTACATATATGTATAACATAGACATACATGCAGTGAAGAACGCTGTTGCTCTATAATGCGCATATATTAACTTGTTTCATTTTAGAAAAAAACACACTAAAAAGAGTTAATATTGTACGGAACATTCTAAGACACTTAGTCATTACACAATATACAGACAAAAGACTTTTGGGGGTGGTTGTCTTCACTTATCCTCTTTGGTAGCTGAATTTAATTCCAAATGTAGAGCTGTGGGTCGCTACCCATCAGAAAGATGAAGATACCTGGTATTCTGCAACTAACGAAACATAAGGTTTTGATTAGGGACTTCTATTTCTGCATTCTCCACATCATGCTTTACATATTTGGTTTACCCAGAACTTCAGTCTGGTTCAAGTATAGCATATTTGTTATAAAAAAAAGAAAAGACGGAGAACAGTAAGCCAAGAATGTGTCTTAGAACATCTCACTCTGAACTTGGCTATTAAATGGAATCCAGCCTTGGACGCTCTGTTCACAGGCACACAGAGCTGGACAATGGGAACAGTCATGGGTACAGTCTGACCTTCAGAATAATTGCAGGCCTGGGACAGAGCTTGGCAGTGAGACAGCATCGCCAGCCGGGACACTGTAACGCCCATTACACTCCCATCTTTGCTTGTTTTATACTAAGGGGAAAAACACACAAGAAACACAATAAAATGGGTTATTTCAAATGCAATTCAGAGGTGACATAACAAGAATCCACCACCACCCCCACTTCCGACCCCTGCGAAACAAAGTCCAGATAAGTGGGCATAACAGGCTGAAGTGAGGACGTCTAAGTGAGCATTTAAGGCTGTGCACTTGGGTCCCAACTCCCCCCCAAGCAAGGGCAAGACTGGGGAAGAGCAAGACCCCGTACATGCATGTGCGAACAAGACTGAGAAGGTGAACCGGCCATCTGTGTGACACGCTGCGAAGCGTGATGAAATGAACCAGTGACTTGCGCGGCTCACTAGCAGCCCCATATCAGATCCAAGCCAAGCTGGGCACCTAGAGGTCATGGGTCTAAGATTCCAGTCCTGCCCAGGCGAAGCTCCCAGCAGAGGAGGGGAGACCTACTCAAACTCTGATTGGGCTTTTACCCTCCATACTGCAGGCCAGTAGTTCTTACCAGGATGATGAACTTTTGGGGTGTTAAATCAGAAAGACAGTTTGGAGACTTCATCTATCAACACTTCGTTAGCATGTGGCACCCTGGGCTTTGCCCTTTCTTGACACCTTCTCCCTTCCTTCCATCCTTCCGTCCGTCCCTTCCGCTGTCCATCCCTTCTGAGCTTGTTAAAGGCCCTGCACATCTTCCTCCTCTCTTTATAGTCTATTGCTCTCAGGATACTACATTCCAGATGGCTCCAATTCTCTAACTCCAACCCAGCCCTCTCTCCAAAGCTGTCAACTCACACATCGATTGTTCCCCTTGAATGTCAGGTAGGCCTATGAACCCCACTGTGTCCAACACTGCATTCCTCACCCCCCACCCCATGACAAACATCCTGCTGCATTTTCTTACACTAAAGGACACCACCGTCGTCCATCTACAGTTACCCACCATCCTGGCCAGTTCCCTTCCAGAGTCAGCTACCCAGTCATCCTCACTCACTGTCCAGCTGTCACGTGCACAGCAGTCACTGACGATACAACTGACAACGTCTCAAGTCAGGTACACCTTGGTCCTCGACGTACAGCACTGCCTTGAATGCTTTAAGGAGGCCTCCCACCGTGGAACCAGACGGTGGTAAAACCCGGTCTTCCCACTCCCTTTCCTGTGACCCAATCAATCTAGAGAGCTCTTTTTACAACACCATTTGCTCTCCTCACTGTTTTTAAAACCTTCTAATAGCTCCCTATTGCCCAGGATGCTTTACAGTAACTCATCAGCAAACTATCTGAGGACTTATTAGGCGGGGAATGCCTACTATTGGCTCAGGTAGAACCAGTCTCTCTACATTCTAGGTTCCTGTTATTCTTAATTAACTTGCGATTCTCACCTGGGATTTTCCTTCTGAGTCCCAGACCTTTAAACACGGCACCTGATTTGGAATACCCTTCTAGCCCTTCTTCACCTGACAGGTTCCTATTTGAGGACTTAACCTGGACTTCAGTTCTTCAGGAAACTTCCCCTAATGCCATCAAGCTCAGAGAACAAGTGAAGCTATGGCTCCCAGTAGCCTCCATTCATTTAATACACGTGGATTAAGCACTTAATAAACTCACAAGCACTTAAAACCAAACACTATCCTAACAGCTTAGGAGACTGGAGTAAACACAAGAGGCAAACTTCCTCTCTTGAAATTTATATTCTACTCAAGACCAGCATAAGCAAACAAATGTCTAGTATTTCGAGTGGTGTAAGTTTTGAAGACCAAAAAACGCAGGGGAAAAAACACTAGAGATGGGGTAAGAATGCTGTTTCACAGAAGGTGATTGGGGGAGGTCTTGTGGAAAGTGTGGCTGCTGAACCCAGACTGGAAGCAATTGGGGGTGGTGGTGGTGTGTGTGTGTGTGTGTGTGTGTGAGAGAGAGAGAGAGAGAGAGAGAGAGAGA